AGGAATGCAGGTAACCAGATCTTCAGCCATTCCACAGTCAGGGCATCCTCTGGAAACGAGGGATTTTTACTTCAAAACCAGACAGCTGTCCACCAAATTAAAACCATCAGACACCCAGAAGACATTTCTATGGCTCTGGAGAAAAAGGGTGTGTGTGGAGGACACATGTCATTTACACTAACATTTACTAACACCAACATAATTAAGCTTAGGTGCAGGTTTCTGGATGCTCAGGTCCCCATTACTTTCCCAGTTCTCCAGGACAGGAAACTGCAAACCATAATGAAGCCACAGGTTTCTGCGTCTGGCACCTCTAAAACACCAGGTCACTTACTGCTGTGCCAAGGTACACATACAGCTCATGCAAGTCATCAAATATCCCAGTCTGAATGATGAAGTGGGGTCCCTTAGGAATTAATTTAAGCAATTAGCTCCCATTGACAGGTGGGATGCCAAACAAAAAAGCTGACATAGCAGATACCAGTATTTGGCAACTTTGGCAAATACTGGCTTTTTAACAGTGACTGATATAAAACATGGAGACTTCACTGAATAACCATAATGGCTTAGATCATTCCAAGGATTAAAGCTTCATGATGTAATCATGATGTAATTGTTTCAGTTCCTAAACTCTTCATTACCTCGACAGGTTCTTCCGTTGGCTGCTATGGTATATCCCTGCTCAGGACAAGCACACTGATAACTACCAGGAACATTCACGCAGCGGAAAGTACAAAGAATGCCTGCACTCTGTGTGCACTCATCAATATCTGGGGAAAAAACACAATTACAAACACATGTAAGGAGAAAAACAGGAATCTGGAAAGGGAGGCTGCAGAACACAAGGAAATTCTTATCTGACGCATTTATAATATATTCTTAAACAAGAATGCAACCATGACAGTTTGACATTGCTCTAGGACCACTGATGATGCATTCTGAAATGCTGAACATGAGACTGCTGCCAAAAATACTGGTTGGAGGTAGTATGGGCCCATGGAAAAGAACAAGCCTAGGGCACATCTGGGTGAAAAGCACCCTCTGGTAGCTCTGTAATTCTTCTAAGATTTAGTTTATTCTAGGATTCTAGTTTAGGGGCTTCCTTGTGCTACGAAGAACATGAGTTTCTTCGTAACTTCTTATATAGAGACTCGCCAATGTCAGCACTGGTAACGTCAAGCAAACAGGTAAAACCCTTTCTTTCTCCATTCTGACCACTCTACTCCTCATTCAGCCACCATGAGCAGAAGTAAGAGCAAGCCTTCACTCAACCATGGCTGAGTGGAGGTTTTAATTGATGGAACATAGGTAAACCTATCTTCCTTTCTACTTACTTCAATCATAAGCTCTAGCCCCAGAAGACAATAACCCCACCAGTTCTACGGTCACACAAGTGTATTCCAGCCCCAGGTGGAAGGCATTAAAATGAACTGCATTTTCCAATTTGCAGCACCTGTGGCAGGGTGTAACTCACAGTCATCCTTAGGCATCACCTGCAGGATTAGGTGCCTGTTGAAGAGGATACATATATTTAACTTGACCTGCCAAAGCAGCAGCCTTACCTTTACAAGAATGCCCATCTTCTGCTAGCTGGAAACCTTGCCTGCAGTAACACTGATAGGAACCATAAACATTGGCACACTCCTGGCTGCAGGGACTAGTATCACATTCATTCACATCTGTATCCAAAAACAAACACACAGGCATTGCCACAGTGGTTCAGATCAGTGTCGTCCACTATTTTTTTTCTCTGAGAACAGTTACCAGGTCCTTCTGGTCAGAGTGAATAGGGATGGACTCATTTGCCGCAAGATGTTTCTGCTCTAGGCAGGATGCCAAGAAGCATAAGGATGTCTGTTCCACCTGAATTTCTTTTCTGTATATGCCAATGAAAACACATACACATGCAAACATGTGTTTCAGACCCTATGCTACAGTTAATTAAAATTATGTAATCATTGCCTTAAAAAATCATGGAGAACTTTCAATTCAAAATCAATTTTTAAAGTTTTGCCACTACCAAGTTTCACCTTTACTAAAATTGGCATGAACAGTCTCCTGTCCTCACTTTGTTCTGTTCTCCTCTGTTAACGAAGGAAAAAGCATGTGAGGGAGAAGGAGAAAGGGAAGAAACTCGTTGGCTCTCATCTGACAGTGCGAGTGTTTGATTGAATAATTGCAAATTTGAGGACATCATGGGTTTACTCTATTTATATTGAACCTCAACTCCTTCTCTAAAGTTCCTTAAATCAGACTGCAATTTCTTCCTCATGGGAAGAATGTCTGGTACCTTCACAGTGCTTCCCATCATAGGACAAGCGGAAACCAGAAGAACAAGTGCAATGGTAGGACCCAGGGGTGTTCTCACATGTGTGCTGACACAGGCGTCCAGGGTAGTTCCAGCACTCATTTATATCTGCAGCGTAAGAAGCAAATACACATTCAATTTAGAAACAAAAGCATCAAACAAAATGCAGGAGGTTATTTTAAAAAGTGTCAGGGATTGATCTGCAGAGCATGAAACACTGCAATCTCAGGTTTTATGCTGTCTGACTTTGTGCTCTAATTGGTGTACAGCAGTGATAAACCACAAAATGCTGTATCATAGTTTCTTATGAAGAAAGTTGTGGCATCTTCAGAAAGATTAATATCTACAGCAGCAGAAGCATAACCCGTAGGGAAGTACTCTGCAGATTACTTTAATTGATAACCTGCAGCTAACCCAAACCAAGGGCACCTGGGCCGCAGTCACAGCACAGAGTGGCAGAGCTCTAAATGACTGGTCGCACCCAGGAATGGCTGCTTTAGAGGTGACTCTGTTTATTGCGGCTCTGCATTGCAGAACTAATAACTACACACTACAGTGGTGCTAAACACTGCCTTGAGGTCCAAGGCTCAATCAATCAGTACTTTCATCTCATCTTGTGCCTTACATACCAATGCAGCCCCTGCTGAAGGCATCGTACTGAAACCCCATCTTGCAGTCACAGCGGTAAGCCCCAGGCAGGTTATGACAAATCTGCCCTTCACCACAACGATGCACACCAGTTTGACATTCATCCACATCTGCAGAACCAGAGAAAGTGATTAGTTAAATACAGTTTGCTAAAAATCAATGTTTATGAAGAGAAAATATAAAGTAACAGGAATAGAAACTGCTTCAAAGAGGGTTGTCCTCAGGACAGAACAAAGAGAATCAGCCTTTCCCACTGCGCTCCTCTGAGTCAGCTTCACATATCCTAAGTCAAATTCTGAAAAGGAATGCATTATCTTAGAAGTGAAAATGGCAACTGTAACTGCAATGGACCTTTCCCAGTATATTCTGCATTTCAACCTACACACATTTTGATTCTGATCAAACCATGACATTTAAACACCCTATTCTGATGTTCTGCCATTTTGTGAGTCACAGCAAGGCATTTAAAGCAAACTAAGAACTAGCAAGAAATTCTGCTCATCCCTTCAATTAAAGCAATTGCTATTTTCATCTCCAGTTGCCCTTTCAGTCTTGCTTCTGCTGTCTACCCTTTACTCTTTCTCAATGTTGATCTTTTTTCTTTTCTCAATCAACTCACATTTTCATATTCTTCATGGCCTCTCATGCAAAACCCAACACCAACAAATTAGCTGCTTCTCTACTCACATGCATCACTCCCAATCTCATTTTAATAGTCCTCAGATGAAGATGAGAGTTTTCAATACACGCTGATTTACAAGACTTGCAACATGACTAAATAGCTCATCAGTATCTAACAAATCCCTGTTACCATCTGTGACAAGAAGCATCAAAAATTCTGATTAGCCCTCAGAAACTTGTATTTCTTCAAGTATTCCAAGTTCTGCTGTTTCCTAAGCCATCAGGTTCTGCTTCCTTCCTGTTACTGACACCTTCAACTACTTTTACAACCCAAATTCCTGTTCATGTAACATTAATTAGGATGGTAGTCTAAGGCTGGAGGTTCTCCCTACTGCCCTCTTTGAAGTGATCAATTGGAGCACTACTGCATTTCAAAGGGTTCCTGGGCAGTTCTCCAACAAACAGCAGCCTTGGAGAGTGCTCGGGAAAGCAGTCACTTGTGGAGAAAATGATAGGGAAGTGAGAGCAAGTTACATGCCACACAAACTTGGATGTGGAAAAGTGGGGATTATATCAACCCTGATGAGAGATGCTGACAAATACTTTGCTCAATATTCAGCACAGATTCCCACCTACACAACTCCTGCTGGCACCAGGGGGTCAGGGATGGCAGGGAATGCCACTTGCCAAGCAAGGAATTCCTGACAGGCTCATACATTTCTGCTGAAATGCTGTCTCCTCATTTTCTTTTAATTCAGAAGCAGCATCAAAACAAGGAAGTTTCTAATGCATATATACATTTGTAAAGTAGCAGTTTTATTTGTAATGAATTTGTGTGTGCAAGCATTTTATTACTTTGTCCAAAATGATACATTCCATTGCATTCAGACTTCAATTAGTTCTAGGGAATTATACCATCACTAGTGTGCTGTATTTCACAATAAGTACAGTATTTTCAGTTAAATTAAGAGGTAGCTTTTAATGACTCATTTACTAAACCAGAAAATATTAACATTTTAAAGAGAGGTGAATCCTCTAAGCAGAAGATATAACCATACACGTATAGTTCTCCTGGAGAAACACGTGCAGATGGTATATTTACTACTGTGAATAAATCTGAATCCGGAATCTAATCAACTATTGTAATGCCTTAAAGAAGCTAGTCTTTACCATAGAGAGGGGAAGTAGGACCATATGGTTTTCTTTTTTCTTCTCCATGTCTCTGCCTACTTAAGAAAGCCATACAAAAAACTACCAGAAGATCCAGACTGCAGAGACACAGTGACACAGCAAAGACAGAGAAATCACCAATTAACATTAAACATTTGTTTTTCCCAAAATCAAACTAGAGAAGCTTCTTTATACCTGCTCCTTAAAAGCACTGTCAATCATGTAAAGTGGAGACAAAGCATCATCAGTAATTACAATGCATTGTGTTATCTCATCAGGCTATGAAGATATAAATGCTGTATGAATAGTGGCAATTTCCTCCTCTGTCACACATTACACACATTCTCTTTTAGGAACAACTGGGAAAAAAGGCTGGCTTCTTTCTATAGATCATCCACTTGAAATTTAGGAACAGGATTTGCCCTAGCCATTAGCAAGACTTGAAAGTGAAGGCTATTACCACTGCAGCCAGTACTTCAGTGACAAGACACTGACTTGTCACAGGTCAGTGACAACTGCTGACCTGTGAAGGAAATGGATTCATGGAGATGTTGGTATGGTGGTAACCCTAAAAACAGCGTCAGGATTATCACACTTCAGCCCACTACTCTGCCCCCTGGAGCTGTCTTAGAAAGCTTTCTCCACTTCCTCAGTTACACATAAACTGTCCCAATCTTGTGCTACGTCCAAATCTTCCCCACCTTCTCAGTGGCCCAGCACAGTCTGGGTAGTCCTGGGGGTAAAATCATGAAGGGAGACAGAGCATAATGAATAGCAAAAAGGAGAATGCAGGAATTCATGCAGAAATGGGGTCTATCTGTAACACTATTTTTCATTACAACTTGCTAGACATAGAATCACAGTTATATAGCTTCTAACACCGCTTCCACGCACCTGGAGCAGCACAAAGCAAATCTTGTTTATTTTTCACCCTTCCTTTTCTTCAAAGGGAACGTAAGCAGGGATCATTAGGATTTCATCACTAACCAAAATGCTGATTTGTCATTTTTTTTCTCCCCACTGTTGTTTTACGATTTCCTACTTTGTGTAACACAGAACATAGGGAATTAAAGAACACATAGCCAACCTTGCCTTGCCAAGCAGCAAGCTTTCAGTTCCTCTGTGCCTAGTGTGCATTTACAGCACAAATGCTAATAAGAGATAAAATCTGCTATTCCGAGTCAGTAACTCATAAACACATTGGAACAAATACAAATCAGTATCAAGCTGCATGCCAGCCTGTATGAATATGTCAACATTCTTTCACAAAGAAAGTAAGAATTTATCCTAAACAGACACAGAACTGGATGTAAATGGGGAGCACCATTGATAGTGCTACAAAGAACATCCACTTATTGCTACTCTTGTGAGTCCACAAACTCAGTGTTTCTCTTTGCTGCATCCCATGGCTTCAGATCATCTCACTCAGCGAGATACTGTAAAAATAGCACAGGATCGTGGTTTTGACTGATAGCATGAGTTTGAAAAGTAACTAGAGTACATTCACTCCAGAACAGAAACCAGTGCATCCCAAATGCAGTCAAAACCAGTGTCACCTGGTGTACCAGGAGGAACTCCATGCAGCAGCCAAACACCAGTGCAGCACCCCATAGTGCAAACACATCACTGAGCTGCTTGGACAGCAAATGCATGCAGCAAACTCCCATTCCTCAAATATGGTTAGCAATCTCAAAACCTTGTTTTTAGAACTGAAATGTTCTTCTTCCTCTGAGAGGGCACCTGACCAGACTCTGGAGCCTAACCTTACCGACACATCGCGTTCCCTCCTCGTTGGAGTGGTAGCCCCTGCTGCATGTCAGTATGTTCCTTTGGCAGGTGTAAGACCCAACAGTATTGATGCAGTTGAATCCTGGTTTACATGGCTCAGATAGAGATGTGCATTCATTAATATCTGGTGAAGAAAATGAATTAGAATAGTGAGAGAAGCTACTTAATCTTTCTGGTCTGTTTTCTTCCAGTTGTCACTGCTTTTCCTTCATTTCAATGTATTGTGCTGATGAAGGTCTGCTGTGGCAAGGCTTTCAAATTCCATATGCAAGCATGCATATCTTTAAAAGGACAGTGATGTTTAAATTAAATTCACAGCATGATTTGATGAAAATTACATGTGGTCAATATATACTTCTTGGAGAAACTAAAAGGAAGAAGAGTTGGCCAGTGCTGCTGCACATATGACATATTCCTGGTCAGACTTACCAACGCAGTTTCCCTCAGGGTCTTGTAAAAATCCATCCATGCAGCGCTGCTTTGACTCACAGTAGAATGATCCTTCTGTATTCTGACAAACGAAGTTTACCTTACAACTGTGAGTTCCCCTCTCGCACTCATCAATATCTGTTATCAGATCAAAACACCAAATTGTGACCAGTTAAGCTGTATTTTTCAGTAGTCTTCATGACTTGTTAACTTCTCAGAACAGAAGTTAGGAGGTATTACTGAAATCAGACAACAAACATGGCCCATGGGAAATCTGAGGTTTAAGTGTGTTTACTCTTGGACACGTATTTCAGCAGAGGCTTCAGAACTTGTCTACAGCAAATTTGACTCAGGTCCCTACTGCCTTGGTCACACCATTTCTTGTAAACCACAAATACTCAAGGCATCTGCAATTTTAAAATCCTAAAGACCCAAATTAAAACGACAAATAAGGTACACATAATAAAATATGTACCACACTCTTTCAAAAGCAAAATGGTCTCTTATTCCTTATATACCTCAGGAATTCCAGGTAGAAACCTACCTCCACTGAATCTGATATTAATAGGGCACCCCATTTCAACAAGGCTGGGGTTTACCATGTACACAGGTACATGTGTATATATTCATGTAGTTACATACACAGAACAAAGACTTATCCAACTCTGAAAACTATCCTGTAAAAATCAGAATGAGAGACAGTGCTATTAGTAACCAATGTTATTCCTCTGCAGACAGAGCTCAACACAGATTTCTCAGTTTTTATTACATGTGTGAGATTATTTCTCAGACAGTGTTCACCAACCCAGTGCTTTCTGGGCAGACTGAAAGCTTACAAGTTTTGAACTTAACAATTTACACACAACTGATCTGTGTTGAGTAACTGCAAGGATCAGCTGGCTTGCTGCCTCTTTCCAGTTGAGGAAACCTCACCCAGGAAGAGACTTCAGCTGTAAATTCATTCAAAATTCAGCTCCTGTGAATATTTTCAAATGCTGCTGGTTCCTAAGAACACTCACCATGACGAACAAACAGAGGAAACTCTACAACTGAGAAGTCTCCACTTCTCCAGGAGGACAAGGAGAGAACTGTTGGTACTTCTCTTTCTATTCTAACTCCTCAGTTAAATGCTAGGGACACAAGGGAACACACTGAATGTATTATGGTCATAGGTTCATAGAATCCCAGAATAGCTTGTGTTGGAAGGGATCTTAAAGCTCACTCAGTTCCAACCCCCTGCCACAGGCAGGGGCGCCCTCCCCCCGCACAG